TGATTGCAAGGGTGAAGTTTTGGGTTCTAGCTGCCCATGGGGGCTGTTGAGTTTCCATATGAGCAAGCACTGGAAGTTCTTCAGTAGGAACATGAGTAGATGGCCATACAGAGGTTGACCAGGTAGGACATCAATTTTTCACTGCTGTGTAATCTCACCCAGGATGATGGTAAGGGTGGAAATAGTGAGATAAGAAGGTTAAAGGCATTAGAATATAGTAGAAAAAGCATAAATGTTGATGTAAGACAGACCCACGTCAAGTCTTTGCTCTACTACTTGCCATCTGTTTGACCTTGGACAAGGTACTTCACCTTTCTATGCACTAACTCCTTTTTCTGTGAAATAAGCAAAATGCCCAGATCATGAGGATTAAATGGGATAGCACATGAAAAGGCCTTGACACAGTGCCCTGTACTCAGCAAGCCATAAATGAGAATTCCCTTTCCTGTTTTCTTTCTATAGTAGAAATTTAAAATATGTACTTGAGTGTGGTGGAACGTTAAGGTGAGCTAAAAATGATGGCCCCATGTGAAATTCTGTTCACCTGTTTTATGCAAAACTTGACTGGTATTTGAGATGTAGGATAGTTTCTTTTTCCTTGCTATTTATTGCAAGTCGGATGCAGGTCTGGTACTGTGACTAGGAGAACAGTTCCAAACTGCTAATATGAACACCAACAGAAATGCAAAATCTCTTTTGGGCTTAACACTGTAACTCATTCCTTTAACTTTCAGAGCTGCCAAGGAAAGATCACCACCACCACTAGCTGCCCTTGAGGGCGCCAATGATTCTGGTCAATCCCGCCACGTACAAGTGTGGTCTAACTGGTCAGTACCAGTTAGACCAGAAAGTACTTTTCTAGAACAAGGAGAAAAGTACTTTAGAAAAGTCCTTTATGAATATCATTTTCTGATCCAGAAATCTCTCTGGCAGTCATCTCTCACTCTTCCAGAAAACAATGGACACTGAGGTTTGCTGCTCAAAAGGAAGTACACTGATGCCTACAAAAAGAGTTTCAACAGCTTTTAAACAAGGTAGATCAATCACCGCTTGTTCCTCCTCAACTAGGTCAAGGCTCTTCCTATAAGAGCAGGTGGCTGTTCATTCCCTCACAAGTGACCTCTGTCCATATTCGGCCAGCTAGCTCCAAGAGTGGTTATTAAATTGAATAAACATCGATCCTTTCCACAACTGTGTTCTTTAGACCTGGTTCTGTCCTCTAGAGCTACACAGATGAAGTCTGACCCCTGGCAGCTATCCTGTTTCCCCCTTAATTTTTCCCCAATCTTCTCCACTCAGGAGGCAAAGAGGCCAGATCCTTGATTCTTGCTTGAAGACACGTAGAGGGGAACAATAAAAGTAGTTAAACAATCACAGAAGAAACTAGAAAGAGTG